CTAAGAGTCGTTCAGCCGGTATGTTAACAAATGCTGTGGTAGAAAATAGATTTGGTGCCGTTTCACAAAGCCAAGCATTATGTGTGTCTCTGCGTGGTCACCAAGGGCCAGGCTCCAAATCAGCAGGGCAGCCCTAGGACAAGCTCTTCAGGACCACGCAGTACCACAAAATTGCATCCTTACTCCACAGCTGTGTAAGCGGAAACCTTCAAACTCCCATACTGCATACGCCCAGCAACGTTTTGGCTTGTCTTGCTTTAACAATCACAATATCACAAATACCTGCTAAAGGTCCCTTCTGAAGTTTGGAAAAAAAACACTGAAATACAGTTAAAGGTATTAAACTAAAAAAAAAAAAAATCACTAAATTTGTTGCCATGACAATGTCTCTATTGTCCATTCTCAACACACCTTCTACCTTCTGTTTTGCCAGTGCATTTCTTATTACAGAAGGGAAAGACTTGAGTGTTTTATTCAGAGTCCAACATGCAATGCATAGTTTCATCAGCACGCCTTAAATGACAAGTTTAATGCTTATTCTACAAAAGGCTTTGCACAAAACTCTCTACCTGAAACCTGAACCTGTGTCATGAGCTGCAAAGACTATCTGCCAGCTTTTCACCCACACAGGCTAAATTCATCTCTTTGTCAAACATTTTGATGGTATTCCTCTCAGCCAACCTCAATCACCTGAATACTAAGACAGGCACAAAATTAATCTCATTTTCTACTGCCGCTTTTAGATGGAGGGAGGTGACCCAGAAGGCATTTGATCCGAATTAATGGAGAAGCCACTGGGCACTTAGGACAAGTTATTTTATCTGTATGTAGTAAATAAAACACAGAAGCCTCCAACGCCTCCTTAGTTTGTGGGTGATTTTACAGGCAAATCTCTGTTACAGAGAAATAAAACTGTTCATATTTCTACAATTAAGAAACAACCTCTATTCTAACAACCTGGACATGTGAGCATCATTGCCTATGGGGTGGAACAGATAAAGCAGATGTATCCAGACACCCCCTCCGCTGGGGTGAGAGGAGGGACCTGCTGCAAACAGCCGGCTCTGGACGGCGACACGGACGAGCTCAGGCTTCGCTCTCCTCTGCTGATTACAGGCATGTTTTGGCTCTGACACGTACTGTGTTCAGAAAGCAGAAGCACTTCTTTACCATACACTGCACTTACAAATGTACATGGTGCAATGTAAAGGTCAACTGAAAAATCCTTCAGATTACGTTTTAACTATAAGTACAAATCCTACTTAAAATGGACTGGTTTCTTACCCACTGTAAATTTATCTTCATTACAAATACACAAAAAAAATCACATAGCAGTTACATTATAAAAATATTCAGGCTAATGCGCATAACAGACAAGAGTCTCCCTTCTAGGGCAAAAATAACCAGGAAAACAAATCAGGGTTTAAAACAAGACAGAAATGAGAAAACAATTAAGACGAAGCAGCGCTGTAATAAGTATGACGATTTCCATCTGTGAGATATTTTTAGAGAAGCCGCCAGAAGGTAATTCTTCCATGGATTCCAAATTCATAGAAGCATTTTTTGTTACAGACACGAGATGGGCGCTGCTGCGATTTCAATGCCGGTTTCACTCAGCCACAACACATGTCTGAATACAAAGGAAAGATGGGAAGGGGAGAAAACAAAACAAGAGCTGCTAAATGATAGGTGAAGCGGGCTTTTCCAGTCTGACAGAGAAGAAAAATACAGTTATCTCATGCACTGTTTTTAGCTTATCATTCACTGGGGAGACAGTATTTGGTGCTGTGCAGAGAGAGAAGTATCAGCATGAGCTTCTCAGGAAAGGAAGAGGTCTTCCCTGCACTAAAGGCTGTGCTGTACTGCAGTAGCACTACAGACAGGAGAATATCATCATTAGAAACAGCAAGTGGGCAGAGCAAAAGGAGAAAGACAGCTACTGACATTGTCCTTCCCTCAGGGACTTTGGGGCTCCAAATGAAATATATATATATATATATATATACACACACACACACATAAAATGCAAACAGTAGTACACTGCAGCGTGGACCTCTCCTTTCCCAAGGCCAGATCTGCACTGCTCTTTTGCAAACAGACAGTTCTCCCAGCTGTGAGAAACCAGCTACATTAGAAATATTTGCCTACTCAATTTCGTGCCCTTGTGCTTGATGCTTTTTATTTTATTTCATGCAAAAGAAACTGTTGGGTTGTTCTACATTACATTTTTTTTAAAGTAGCACAGGTTAGAACGATGCTGCCAATAAATAAATAAATAAAAGTCTCCATGGCTTGCTAAAGGAGGCACTAAAACATTACTTTAAAAAACTTAAAATAAGTCAGAAAATGGTGACTTCCAGCAAAACTTATTATCCTTTCAAAGATTTTTCCAGCTCCTCAGGCTATGCAAGGGAGACTGGGCTAGCTGAGCGCTGTACGTGCCAGTTTCGTTCCAAAGGGCTCTCGGAGCTCCATATTCCAGGTTTGCACAAATTCACCTCATTGCAGCATTCCAGAGCGACAAGACTATGCAAAGCAGCTGGAGCAGGAGACGGGATTGCATAAGAAACGTATGAAAGTTTCATGAACTAGCTCGTATTTTAAAAGTTATGTGTCACATCACACTCGTTTCCACTTCCCAGAGGTTTGCTGGCTCTTGGCTGAGGTTTTCCAGGCTCAGCCGGAGGGGAAGGAGGCTGCTGAATCAGGGGTTTGCGGGCTCTCCCTCCAGGCCGGCACTCGGGGCAGGCTCGTGCAGCAAGGCTCACCTCGTGGGCTGGGAAAGGACACTCTGCTTCAGAGAAATGGAGCTGCCTGCAACGGCCCAGCACAGGTCAGCGAACCAACACAATTAGACACTCACCCCTTCAGCCAGGCCGGTTGATCAGTCAAGAAGCAATGTGTTTTGATATATTTCCATTCTCTTAAAAACAGTTCATTTCCTAGTCTGAAGAAGTATCCATACGGAGAGTTGGAGAGCTCAGATCAGTACAAGGAGATGACTTCCCCTTCACACTTTCTGGGCTCAAAGGAATTAGCAGGTTGCTCTGTTTCTGCACTGCCCGGTATTTTACAGGCAGAGCTGTGGCCATATCCTTAGCCTAGGCTTGGGGCAGGCTCGTGCAGCAAGGCTCACCTCGTGGGCTGGGAAAGGACACTCTGCTTCAGAGAAATGGAGCTGCCTGCAACGGCCCAGCACAGGTCAGCGAACCAACAGAACTAGACACTCGCCCCTTCAGCCAGGCCGGTTGTTCAGTCTAGAAGCAAAGTGTTTTGATATTTCCATTCTTTTAAAAACAGTTCATTTCCTAGTCTGAAGAAGTATCCATACGGAGAGTTGGAGAGCTCAGATCAGTACAAGGAGATGACTTCCCCTTCACACTTTCTGGGCTCAAAGGAATTAGCAGGTTGCTCTGTTTCTGCACTGCCCGGTATTTTACAGGCAGAGCTGTGGCCATATCCTTAGCCTAGGCTTTACTGCTGCACCAGCTCATCTCTTGAAATTATGTGCCCAGGGGTGGCACTCTGCACATCGCCCACCGAGCGCCACCCATAAAAGGCTTTTTTTTTTTTTTTTTTTTTTTTTTTTTTTTGTGGGGGAGACAGGGTTGTCTGTGGAGGACAATTCCTTGAGTATCAGCTAAACCACAGAGCAACAAATTTATCATGACCCAGAGAACTGATCAATGTGACCCAGTGAAGCTTCTTGGCTAAAATTAGAAAGAGAATTTGTATTTTATTTCAGGCTCCAGCCCTTTTGATTACTGAGCTTTCAGCTCGGTCCCTTAAATAACCTGCACGTAACCTTCAGAATAAGGCTGCGGATGCAAATCTAACAGGACGATACAGGTTGTTCTTGTTTGGGAGGGGGCTAGGGGGAGAAAAAGAGCTTTTTCTTTTTAGAATGAATTAATTTCATAATTATTGCCCCCAAAGACAGCAAACTGAAAACCAAGCAGTGAGCTAGGTTAGATTGACTATATTGATTAACCTTCAGCTTCAAAATCAGAACTTGTGTTTCTGACAGATATTATACGCAATAGTAAACTGCCATATGAACTACACGTCCTAAACTCTTGCTGATCCCGAGTTTCACTGCTTGCATCAAACATAAACTGCTCAGGATTTTCATCTGAGATACTGATTAATATTAAAATAGTAGAGTTGAGCAGAAAATATAATCCTGTGCTTAGACACGTGAGCTGGTATGTGGCGGCTGCACACTGCCTTGCACTTTCACCAGCAGTTTTATCATCATAATCCGGAGATCATGGCACAGATACTTACACACTGCCTCTCAAATGCCTCCTACTCTTTATCTAGAGACACAAAGGGTAACCAAAAAGCAAAAGCAATATTAGATAGGAAGGAGAAAAAAAAAAAAAAAAGGGAATCTGAACTGTTCCCCCACAAAAATGCAAAGGTGGAGAACACATTCCAACCTCCTGGGACTATAAAGGCACAAACCTTGAGTAACAGAGACTGGTGTTCTGGCCGCACATTCCACATCCATCACGGGCAGAAGAGAACGTGATATGAAGCCGGATGTCCAACTGATTTCTACTTCTTATCAGCAATTTAATAACGCAGATAAAACTAAGCTCTTGTGCAGCCATACTCAAAGCCTGGAACCATCATCTCTCAAGTCTCTGCCAAGAAACACTTCTAATTCTCTTCTCCCGATTTCCAGATCAGATCTGAACATTGTTCTGCTTCCAGAAAGCCTCCAACTCCCATAAATCGATGCTGAAACCCGCGCTGGCCTCCTAACAGCCCACTGACACCTTGCAAAAAAGAAAAGAGGGCTGCCAAGAATCTTCCTTATCCCTGCCGATTGCGCCACCTTTACTGTTGATAGTTTATTTAATTTAAAAAAAGAAAACGTTGACAGCAGTGCCCAACAAAATAAAAAAGAAAAACCCTGCATTTGCACTATACCACAGCCCTTTCCCATCTCACCCTTTCCACACACGCAGAAGCTAAGAGAAAGCTATTGAACCATGGCAGATGGACCAGCACCACTGCTGCCGCTGGCTGGGACAGGTAAGGTTGCTTATTGCCTCCTTCAAGCAACACATCCAGCTTTTCCTCCTATCTGCCTCTCCTCTCCTCCTAAAGGCCAGCATTTTCACTTTTTGCATTTTGCTTCAAAGCTAAATTGTATGTTTTTGGAAAACCATCTGTGCGTTTCCATGTTATCTAGCTCAGAGCACTAGTCCTGACAGAGCTTCAGACAACACAAAGATTAATTAAAAACTAAATTCATTCCTTTGCTCAAAATACCAAATTCTCCACTGCGGGCCACTGTCCCAAAATTTCTGAGACAGCAATCAATTCTATTCAAGAAAAATACTGAGCTAAAATAAAAGACACTAAGCGCTTCATAGCTACTGGAGTGAATGCTTCAGCGAGGATGGCAGAGAACAGTTATATATCAGACACATTAAAGCTTGACAAACAGAGGAATCAGAAGTGTCAGTTATGGTGATTTTATAAAGAAATATGAGGAAAAAATACAGATTTCTTTACTATTCTGGGGTTTTTAGTAGAGGTTGCAAGCAAACACAGGCATTCCTCGTCTCTAAGCACTGCTCGCTCGGGGTACGTCCGCACTGCAGCAGCTGCAGCTCCCCCGGCCGTGCCGCTCGCGCGCGTGGCCGCTGCAGGCCGAGCGAAGCACCCGCGCAGGGCGGCCGCAGCCCCGGGGCCCTCCGCGGTGCGACCTGCACGCGGAGCACACCACGAAAAGCACCCGAGCAGAGCCGGGCTTCGGAGGCATTCTCGGATTTTGAACACGTTGTTTGAGTGCAACACAAAGTAACTTCAAATACAACCTAGGAAAGGGAAATTAGTAGCTATTTTATTCAGTTTACAACGCTTTTCAAATCATGTTCTCTCTGCCTGGATATTTGTTTCAAGGAGAGATGCAGCATAAAGGAGAAGGGAAGGAAACAAGAGACTCCTGTTCTGTAAGCAGCTCACAACATGGCTGAGCCCAGATTACCTGCAGATACCACCAGCCCTTCTGCAACAGGGAATTCTTGAAACAAGCAGTTTTCCTACTAAAATATACCACTTTTACAGCCACCTTGTAGAAGCAGCACTAGAGCAGCTCTGCAGGCTGAGCGAGAAGTGAGACATTTTTAAAAAGGATTAAGAACATACAAAACCAGCCGAGCCTTAGACACTACCCACACACATATGCGCAGTCAGCCAGGAAGCCCCGTATCAGATCAACCCGTGTTCACCCTGTTGATCCTTCCTACCTACCACAACCACCCCGGGCTTCCCACAGAGCACAAGGAACCGCTTCAGTTACCTCAGGGCTACACGTGCCGGACCCTAAGGCATGTAGTAATGCTCTTCAATCTGTCTTTCCCCTAAACATGAAGTAAACATGTTCCCTTCCTCTGACTTCCTCCAAGTTTTGTGAAAATTACTGGCTTTTTTTTTGGGGGGGGGGGTGTGTGTGTGTACATGTGTGTGTTATTGCTTAAAGCAGACTGTCTATATCCAGAATGATAACTTTTTTTTTTTTTCCTCCCCAGAACAACATGGAGCTACTCATTACCATCATGCCATGGAAACACAAAGCTGTCCCTTCCAACCCTGTCTTCTGCATCAAGACATCACCTAGCCCACACCTAAGCAGCAGGCTCTTCTAAACTCACTTTAAATGCAGGAGACACGATATCATCATGAAATGCATATGGTCATTTTCAATCATCTCCATAACACAAAACTTTTGCTTCTTGTCTTTGTTTCTGCCACTGGCAATTTGTTCTGCATTTGTCAATTCTGCGCCCTCTGTGATCCCCCCTTCCCTGCAGTTCATGACCCCTTGTATATAAGATGAAGAAAGGGCAAAGGCTGAAAATGTCACCACAGTTGGCCTCTGTTCTTTTACTGACTTAACTAGTTTGCGCTCATTTTTAGTAGCAAAGCCAGACCCCGAGACAGAGTTACTCAGTCACAAGTCCAGAAATCCCCAGAAAATGGTTCAGAAGCTACGTGGAAGAGGACGCAACAGTTTCCTCTTATCCACTTTTAATTTAACTCAGACCCTACAGCGGTCCCTGCATGCCACCTAAACAGTATTGGTCATTTGAATGGTATGAAAGAACAATTGAAGGGAAAAAGAAAGGAAAATGAGAGAAGAACATTAGTCTAGTCTGCTTTTAGCAGGGATATGAGGGGAAGATCAGCTACCGCAGGCTGAACTGTATCTACATTTCACAAGCTAAACTATTCAGTGGTTTATTTACATACAATGTGCTAAAATGCCACTTGTGGTTTTCCTTAATTTGTGACAAGGCCCATAAGCCACAAAATCATAGAAAGTCTGCAAATCAGACATGAACTTCGTACATAAGCCACTGCAAGAAGGGAGACAGATTTTGGAAGCGCGGGCACAGCAAGGGTTGAAATGCGCCGGCTAACACAGCAAGGTGCCAAAACGGCACTCGGACTAGAAAACTCAGGTCACCGAGCGGCTCACGCTGCAGGAACTGCACATCATAATGTAATTTTCACAGCCGAGCCGACCTGCAGCAAGGCATCCGGGGCCTCAGGTCTCCGGGCTGCCCTTCCATATCCGAGTGGAGGGAATTGCAGTCAGCTCCATTTTATGCACATTTGATGGCAAGACGCCAACACAAGTGTTGACTGAGCCAAACCTGGGCCCCCTTGAACTAAGCCATCACCTAGAGCACTGTGGAAAAGCACATGCCTCTCATAACCAGAGCAGCCAAGTTCCTGAAAAGCATCCACATTACAGGATAGATTCTTTTTTTCCTCTCTCTCTTCTCAGAAAACCACTGTTTTTTTAACCCCTTGATATACCCTCATTAGTTCAAACAGAAAAAGGTTGCTCTGTGATACAACTTGATGTCAAGGTAGTGCAGGAATCAGGGGGCCTCCTTCTAGCAAGCCAAATTATTTACTAGATAACCCAAATAGCAGCTCAGACCAGTGTTATCCAACCTGGAGGGCAGTCATCATCATACTCTATATCTCATTAGCTTTCTCAGCCAAGGTGTTAATGGCTGCTTTCCAACTGGAACCTCACTCTGAGGAACAGAACGCAGCGCAAGCTAAGGAAACCTATTCGATTAATTTAATTCACTTCCTCCCCCAAGCCAGTGTTTGGAGCTGGGCTGCCAGCAAGCACAAGAAGTGCATGCAGTGCCATCACTCGGGGAATTCACCTTCCAGAGCAGAAATTGCTCCTAGACCATTATCCTACCACACAGCAGAGAAAGCCCTCTGCTAACTTCAGCTTTAATTATATTGGAGCAAAGACTAGAAACCAAATTTCTTCAAATAATAATAGCAATAATTCAAAATACTTCAAACAAAGAATGCTCTGGACCTGCCGTTCCACCCAGGCTTTTGGGATAACACACTTCCTTTCCCAACCGACATCCTCCGAGAATCAGACTGATGATTATTCTATTCTATTCCCATTGCAGGGTCTGCTGGGCTCCCTCAGCACATGTAAACTGCTAGGTAATATTTGTGTTGGCAACCAGCTCGCATACTTTACAGAAACAGACCTCTTCCTGACCCTCCGTGCGGCTCCCACGTACGGCCCAGTCCCCTCCTTTAAACTGCTTTCTCCTGCTGCAGCGCATTCCCTGCTCCGCGCCTCTCTTTCCAGCCTCTATAAAAACTCCATATCCAGGATGGAGTTTACGTGCTTAACCAGAGCAACTCGGCTGGAACAGGCAAGCTTGCAGAGCGTCCTCACACAGGATTACCAAAGAAAATTAATAGAAAACTTGCCTGTACAGGCCCTGGCTTTCCTTCTACAAAACTTGCTCTGATAGGACATTTCTTTGAAAAATCGCATCAAGACACAGTTTTATACGTTAAAACTGACAGCTGTATAATGCCATTAAAGACAAAAAAAAATCATCTCAGAGCAGTTTAGATTTCCATAGTAGAACTCCTCTTCCCTCACATCGTGCATGCCCTACACAGTAGAACATGAGCCAACAATGTAATGAGTCCAGACGATCAAATTAATTCCCATTATCCATTTATGCTACTGCAGTTTATCGCAGCTCTATTTGCAGCCAGTAGAGCTAAACCAGAATAAGGTGATGCGAAAAGGAGCCTGAGCAGCGCAGAGGGGCCGACACAGCAGCAGCCACATCATGTGACAGCAGCGGCGCTCGCAGCAGAGGAAGGCCGGTTAAAATCCCCCTTCCTCCTCCTCAGCAAATCTATGCCTGCAAGGAAACATTTGGGGAAACACGTTTTTTTAATGCTCTTTTCAGAGCAGTGTCTATGGAATGGATTCAGGTTATAAGCGTCTCAGGCCTTTGAATCATTATTCTCGCTTTTTTATTACTTCCTTCCAGCAAATAAAAACAGTAGCACAGAAGTGAATAACAATGCAGCCAAGCCATATCGTCTTCCTCTTGCTACACACTTTTAGCATTTTATCATGTGCCCGATTTCTCACGTGAGCACCCAGCACAGTACTGTTACCTTTAACATTCTTGCACTTAGAGCACAGCCCAACCAGTCATCTTTCTGAAGGAATCTTTTAATGCTTTTAAGTGACATTATACATATTTCATAACAAAACTGAAAGCTACAAAATTCTATTGATAACCAATGATCCCCACCTTCTTTACAGCACACAAAAATATCACTTCCTTCCATAACGTTTCTACAAATCGGTTTCTATTTCTGCAGCAAAATACCTGGCCATTGCATTTGCATGCTCTGTATTATTTTGGCAGCCCAGGATGCTTGGTGAATTACACTCCTTGCTTCTTAAGTGACTCACTATTTCTTTTAGTTAATATAAAGCATGATTTGTAGCAGTTCATCAAACCATCTCAGACGGGTCCAGCTTCTCCCATACCAAGGGGAAGGCTCTTTTTCCTAGGAGTATGATCTACAGTCACTTGTCATGCCTCGTATTTGCTCCTTCAACACTCTGAGCAATCCAGGTTACAACTGTTATGCAACAGGGTTCACCCAAGGTCACGAGACACGCTGCATGGTAACTGCATGTGTGCACCCCTGCAGCAGGGCCGGCAGCAGCACCATCTCCCAGGGCTCCTGGGGGCTGCCACCAGCGCCGCAGCTCCGCGGCCAGCAGCAGCGGTGCAGGAGCACCGGGACACTCGCTCATGCCAGCACCGAATCACCTCGCCCGAGGGAGCCGCTTCGCGTTAGCCTGCGCAGGGCACCCGAAGCACGGCACGCTCCTGGGCAGCTCCCACAAAACCCAATGGTTTTTTACATCACGGAATCCATTTTGGGGCTGGAGAGATGATGCGCTCGGCAGGGACACAGCCCAAACACGGGTGCTCGGGGCCGCTGCTTTCATTACACAGGTGCCACCAGAACTCTGATGGCAGCTCTTCCCCTTCCGTGCAGGGTGGAATTGAAGCCAAAGCCGCCAGACAGGTGCTTTGATGATGCTTTACTCAGGGCAGCCGCTGGTTATGAAGGTTTTTTTAATTATCATTTTCCCGCGAATGATAACGGACACGAAATCGGAGGGGAGAAACCCGTGCAGTAAAACCCTCCCCGCGGGGCTCCGCGGGCACCTGGCGCGCAGCGAAGCCGGGGGCCGC